ACACACTGGACCTTTAAAGGAGCTTGTAGTGAGATTGTTCAGCTATAATCTCTCAAATATGTTTGATCAGAAAGGGTTTTTTGTTTGGGTTTACATTTGGAGGTCCGTCACATGGAACAATATTTGTGCCAAATATTACAGTGTGGACACACACTGCGTTCAGCTCCAGATCTGTATCATTATTGAGGACATTTGCGGTGTGCAGCCCTGGGGATGCTTGCGGAAGGAAACAGAGCAGGAAGTCACAGAGAAGTGGGCTGTCCTAATTTTAACGGAACGCCGAAATTTATAAAGACAAAGCCGAAAATCAGAACTCATAAAAGGTCCAGTTTTGAGCAGCTTCAGGAATATTTTCTGTGCACAATCTGCAGGAGAGAAATTATTTTTTTTATCCCGGTTGTGTTTGACTCAACGCCCGGAGAGGCGACACAAAGAAGCCGCGATATTAAAAATACATTTCTATCAACCAGCAAGTCAGAGAGGAATGAAGCATTAAATGCTGCCTGTTCAGAGGCTAAGCTAACAGCAGCTAGCGGGTCTACCTGGTCGGCCAGTTTGAGAACAGCCATCTCTGGGTCAGCTCCGGCTGCTCATCCACTCCCTCCGACACCGCAGCACCATGCACGGTGCGATGCTGCGCCGCGAGCCCCGAGCCCCGCTCCTCCCCTCCTTTCTCCGCTCTTCCCGCGGGACTTCAGGCGACTAACACGCAGCAGCTCCTTCTCGTAGCTCCTCTAGCACACACACGGGCGGACGGTGATGGTGAAGGCCGGGCCGAGCACCAGGACCATCAGCCCCCGCTCCGCTGACGCTATCTGCGGCGACGCTGCTGAGCCGAGGCGGCCGCTCGGAGTCGCCGGGAGGCGGGGTAGCAGGAACGGTTCGACCCACCGGTGTAAACAATCCACATTTATGGCCGCTGCTGCTTCTGCACGGGGGTCCCGGGCCACTCTCCGAGCCATACACCACCTACGGAAGCCTCCCTCAACGCCCGGTTTGCAGAGCCACAAGCCTCCCGGAGTCGAGGCAGCCAGGCTGAACTCAGCTGAACGGAGATCGCACAGGAAGTTGGTGCTTGTCTCTCCTCCTCTCAGATGCAGAAGTGGAGGAGAAGCTTCCTCAGCATCAACAACCAGCAGCACCTCCTCGCTGCTGCCCTCCACTGGACACACAGGGAGCCTGCTGCACAGTGTGGAAGCCCATGTCCGCCAGCGTGACGGAAAATAAGGTTCTGCAAGTCATTATAATGAGAAACGTTCTCCTTATTTTGACTTAGGATCTCAAGAACGTTTTTCAATATTTTGACAAAGTTTCTCATTATAAGGACTTGCAGAATCCTTATTGTTTTGCTGTCACTTTGGCAGAAATGGGCTTCCATAGAGAGGGTTACAACAGTGCTTGAAAAATGAACAGGCACACAGATGTGGTGGAGTGTAAAGACTGATGTACACACCACTTTAGGAGGCTGATGTAGGTTATATGAGGATTAGTTCTGTCTTAAAGGGTCATACCACAGTTTAGAACTGTTGAAGAAACCTGAAGCACTGAAGATTTAAAAGCCTTAATATTTCAGGACTCATAGTAACAGTTAAAAAACAGGCCTATCTGTTTCAGCCATTCAGGCCTTCATCAGGGCAAATACAAAATGGTTGCTTTAGACTGTTTCTTATAACTGTACACCGTAGTCATATGATCAGTATGGACAAGTGTGTCTTGTGAGTAATTCAGTTTGCCACCTCTGAAATGCACCTATTCATATGGAAGAACTCCCACTAAATGAGCCATTTGCTGTATAATAGGGCTGCACAGTTAATCAAAACATTATCCAAATCACAATATGACCAAAGACAATATGCAAATCGCAGAAGCTGCAATTTTTGAATGTGAAGCATCTGAAGCACTGAATTAGTTTATGTTTCTTTTTATTCAATTGCACAAGATAAAAAAAAAGAAACAAACATCCATACAGGCGTACACATACTGGTGTACACACACTTATCTCATATCTACTTTCTGGAAACACCAGAAGCCACAAACAATCTTATTAAATGAATTATTCATTTATTTTCTTCATCAGTAACCCACAACAAAAGATCTTCATACAGAACTGAATGGAAGCTAATGGCTGCTGGGAAAGAATGAAAATGAATATTAACCATGTAAAACACTAGGGTGGTTTATCAAAAGCTGCATGTCATTTAAAGTACAGTATATTTTAGTATAAATGAAAGATTTTTAAAGTTTGATTTCCGTTGTCATCATCTACTATCGTAGTACATCACTGCTCGTGTCACTTCATGTACTCAGTGCTTCACTGTGGAAACATTTATAATCACAGTTCATCTGCCCGGGCAGGTTATAAACCGGGGAGACACAGCCTGCCAGGTTACCTTTCTTTGTTGACTCAACAAACACACACAGTAGCAGCAGCCGACACAGCGCAGAGTATTTTCATGGTTGACTGTGTTCATGGAGATGCATTCCAAAGGTTATAAGGGAAGGAAAGTGAAGAGGGCCATTATTGTGCCCCGTCTGGAGATAACAGCATCAAAACTTTCCAGGTCAGGAAGCCTTTTAGCCACGCTGACAGCATGGCTGCGGGGATGGGACATTGATCTGTCTGTCCATCACTCAATCATTGTCATGGAATTAAGTACAAACATTCATGATCCTAATCCTTCCTGCAGTGATGTAATGCCATTTTAACAACAGAGTGATAGTAAAGTTCCATAAATCATGAATGCTTTTTCCAATGGGTATTTATTTGTAAATGAACTAAATTAAAAAGTAATGCTGCCATTGCACATTCTCAGATATCACTATTAATTACAACCACAATAGAATGAATATGAATTGATTTGTGGCACACTTTTTAAATAACATACTTTGGGCTTGGGGGACAGTATCAAGTAGTTTCAAGTCATAAGAATACAGTCCAAGTGAAGTCACAAGTCATTGGTGTCCAAGTCAGATTGCAAGTCTTGATTTGGTTTTGTCGAGTCTAAAGTCATCAAGTTTGTGACTCAAGTCTGACTCAAGTAGTCATGTGACATTGGACATTTCCATTAGCTGTTCTTTGTATGTGCTAATGTGCTAAGCTAGTGCAGGAATTCGACCAAAAAAGGTGCCAGTACCCTTTCTCAGCACAACAGTGACACTAAACACGACAAAACTAATCCTATTGTAATAATTAATATGATCTGTGCTGTTTTCTCAGCAGTAAGCTAGCTGTGTGTTTACATGGAGACTCAGTTACGTGGGCAATTAATTGCTGCACGCAGGGTTGTAGGAATACAGAGGTCCAAAAGGTGATCTTGATAGGGTGGTTCTGGGGCATCAAAGTAAAGTTATGTTTATGCAGTTGTTGCAGTCGACTTTTATTGTATACCCCTCGGAAAAATACCAAGGTCCATACCCCGGTGACCTCAGTGGTGGGTACACCCACGCTCAACAGAGGGGGCAGTACTCAATAAGAAGTAAGGGTACTGGTGGACAAAAATCAGAAGCCCCAGTACTCAGTACTGGTGAGTACTGGCCCATTTCAGACACTGGTGAGCATTATACCCGCTTACAGTAGCATCAACATGTTAGCATTCTGACGTTAGCATTCAGACATGGCGATTACATGATAAATACACGTATTCAACAAATGAGCCTGAAAGCAAATGACACACAGCAGCCTGACAGTGGGAACATGTGACCTGGCTCAGATAAGCCACTGCTCAACAAAATGTGACTAAATGTGATCTATAAATCCTCTCTACACATTCCAACTGCAGCACACAGGCCAAACTTTCTATTAAACACACTGGCACACACATACACACATTTGCCTCTGGTTTTTACGGGATATCCCTTAGCTGCAGCCACACACACACACAAAACAGACTTATTGCCTTCCTCCTCAGATTAGCAGAACCAGAGTCTGCCAAGGGAATCTGGGTCAAAGCACACGAGCGGCTGTGCAGCAGTGGTGAAGTGAATGGAAGGGAGGAAGAGTGGGGGAGGTTTTTTTCCATTGTGTGTCTATGAGCGTTCATGCATGTGTGTGTAGGAGGGTTGAGGTTTGATCTCTAGTGCAAATGAAGTCCATCAGATGTATGACGGAGGGGTGACACCCACATGAACTTAAAGATTGAAAGAGTTGAGGGAATGCTTGCGAGGTCGTGAACTTGAAAAGAAAGTCTGATGCATGTAACCAACAGCAGTCACAGCTCATATCGTACTTGCCTCCATTATGTCAGACTGAGTTCACCCGTATGATGGTGGAGGAATGAGTTCATCTTTAACAAGGCCACCAGGACAGCCAACCCCCCATGCTCTCGTTGCTTTATCTGGTTGTTGTGTCTCAGCAGGATGATAACAAGGAAACTACAAGCCTGCTGCCTGGGCCTAATTCTCCTGAACACAACCAAGTAACGCTAACAATTCACATATAAGTGCAGTGAGTTGACCTGAAGGTCAGGACTACTTCAACTAGGGGTCACCAAAGCTTCACAGGGGGTTGCAAAGCCTTCATAATTTTAAGGGAAATATATGCTATAGGCCTATCTATATCAATATAGGTATATAATATGGAATATCCATAAAGCATGTGACTTTATACTACCATCTGAGTGCAGATACAGATAACTGGCCTGGAAACGGACTCACTATGCCAGATGTTTTGTCCCTTCTGCCAAAGCATTACTCAACAAAACACCTTGGTAGCAATGATGTGTAAATATATATATATATATTATGTGCTGTTTTGGATGTCTATCCTGTGATTATGTTGAGTATGTATCTATGTAAGGCCATGTACATGGCCAAGTGTCACACCCCACAGCTACCAACTGTCGGGTTTCAAACAAAACACGCACCCAGGTTAATATAGGAGATCTGAGTGAGGGGCTAAAATACAATTCAATTCAATTTTATTTGTATAGCGCCAATTCATAACAGAAGTTATCTTAGTTATTACACAAACTCCTTTTAACATTTACAGAGACCCAACAGTACCACCATGAGCAAGACCTTGGCGACGGGGGCAAGGAAAAACTCTAGGACAGACCCTTCGGCTCTAGGTGGGTGGTCATCTGCCTTGACCAGTTGGGGTGAGATAGATAGATAGA